CACGCCCAGTGCGCGTTGGAAGATACTCTGACTCATATTTCTTTAATAATGAGAATGATTTTTTAATAAAAAAATATTATTTTTTAACAGATAAGATTTTTTGGTAAAAAAATATTTTTTTTAGTTCTTTATTTTTTACTGAGATTTTCATCATCGTCATACAGTATTTTTTGAAGGTAATTATGTTTAATATAGCAGTGATAATAGAGGGAATTTATTCAGTATCCACTGCAGGAGTACGACCCTCTCTGATTTACCAGAGGCAAATGGAGGATTTGGTCTACACTCCCCACGCTGGCTGATGTTCGCATAATAATATGTGTCTGTGTGTCTGTCTGTCTTGCTTTCACGCCTAAACTACTGAACCGATTTTGATGAAATTAGGCATAGAGATAGTTTGAGTCCCGGTTTTTGAAACAGGGACGCGCGCGATAAAGTTTTTCTTTGACAGACAAAATTTCACGCGGGCGAAGCCGCGGGCGAAAAGCTAGTAAGTAAATAAACACTCATATTGTTTATGCCCTAAAGTAAATATAATTAACTATTAGCGAAACCACTTTTTATGTATATTACAAATTGGTTAAACTACTCATAAAATAATATGTTTACACAACACAATGATAAAAATCACTTAATAGCAACTATTATTATAGTTGTTCAATTATGACATTATTCGCCATAAATTGTCGTATGATTAGTTTATAGAACGATTTGTTTTAATAAAATGTGTATGTTTGTCACTTATTTACAAGCAAACTACAAAAGCTATATCAATAAATTATACATGATATTATAGCTTATACATCAGAAAAGAACACACAGTTTATTATTTTACAATAGCTTCAATACTTTTTGAGATATTAACAATTTTGTACAAGAAGCAGTTTTTTCACAATCACAGGCAAAGAAAAGTGGATGTTTTAAAATCGTCGCCATTCAAGCGTGTTAAAAATGATGAAATTAAGTCGTCAGATTAATTGACGGGTTGTTTTAATCACAAACAGACACACAACAGTTTGTAGGTCACTATATAAAAACGGCTCGCGTGCTAGCCCTACCAAGGTGAGAAATTCGCTGGGCGTTCGAATTTTAACCTTAATGTTAAGGCTTTAGGGTCAAATATGTGAGATTTGTGTGACCTTAGGTGTAAAGGTCGGTTCATAGTTGGTATTATGATATACGCCCGTATTCACAAACATTACTATGAGGTCTCACGGTGCGCGTGGACGCACAGGGTGACACACGAACCCATCACAGAGCTCTATTTAATGCTGTGCGTTCGATTTGCTGTTTCACTTAAGCAAGCATCGTTTGTGAATACGGGCGATAGAGTTGTATCTCAAAATATTTATTTGGGATGGTTACTGTAATTCGTTACTTTTTATTTCCTTATAGCATAAGATTTATTTAAAATATTTTTTATACTGTTGTGAACATTGTATCAGTCGCTAGCACTCTACCGAAATAAGGGAGAAATTCCTATAATTTTATTGATTTTAAATTTAAATACTGACTGAAGCTCATAAGTTTTTAGTTCAATGAAAAAACCTTTTAGGCCATTGAAATGATTTTTTTTTCACTCTGTATGTGAATAAACTGATAATAAAGATAAATAGTAGGTAAGCAATAAAAATAAGTTATAAGAAATGCTGCACAAACTATTAAACGTTATGGTCTACAACCACACAAATACATTAAAAAATCATCAACTTTAAATTGAGTTACACAGTACGTTACTAATTCAAACAATTAATTTAACGTAATAATTAATTTAAACTAAGAATTATACATCTTTGAATTGGATCAAACGTTGGCGCCAAAGTCTATAAATTTTCATCTGACCCGACCAGTTTTAATTGACCCCTTTCTTTTTTACAAACTACAACAAAGTAAGTATCAACTTAAACCGGTCAATTATACTATGTATATTACCCAAATTAAATTGACCTCTCTCATCCTATCAACTACTGCATTTCGCCGATCATTTAAAGCTGGACGTAATCCGATGCTATGCCGTTACATTAAGGTTGCTTTTCGCGCAGGCAGTTACGTAGTTTAAGTGATAAATCATGGTAGACCAACGAGGGTTTTGACCAAACGTTTGTAAATAATAAAACTAATTGTATAACGAGTACGTATGATGAAGTGGGGTCAGTTTGAAATGAGACAATTCGTTTAGTATTTCAAATAGTCATCGCAACATGACTTAGTCTTTTTCTAAATCATTCAGTCTATTTTATTACGCTGTGAACTGTATAATAAAACCTTTTGAAATGTGTTTGTGACTCAATTATTTCATTAATTAAAATTCTGACGTTTTGTTTTTTAATTATTATTACGCAAAGGCATACAAAAAACGCATCTTTTGAATCACACTTCAAAAGAATGCCTGAAAATAATACTAGCCCGAAAATTGTACCCTAACACTAATCCCCTAAGCGTGTTAATCGGCTGACCTCACGGCGGGAAACAGAACAATCACAATATTGAACTGTAACGCTTATCATTTAAGGTTGATAACGAGTTGACCTCCGTCCGGCGGGAAAGTCGAGAAATCAAGACATTTGGAAAATCTCATTGGAAACTCAACCTTGTAGTTTACCGTTGGTCGAGGAAAACCGATGTCGGAAGCCGTAAATTTAGCGTTCAGTTTCCTTTGCACGATGTTTTTGGCGCGCAAAAAAGTTTAGTTTTTTTCAATTCGCGTGCAGAAATTTGGTTGTTTCTAGTAAATTGGTAGATTTTGGCGGATTGCTCAATAATAAATATCAACGTTTTTGATCGATTTTATGACTGAATATTATCATAATAGTCTAAGATCTTGATTCTTGGACTAAGGAAGTCTAGCTTTGGTGACATAACCAATCAGATAAGTAGGTACCTAAGTACATGAGCTATTATGTAATACTTACAGGAACCTGATTATGTCACCGTCAAATTTTAAAGCAGCTTAGACTTTAAGTATTATTGACACAAAATAATGCTAGTCTTAGGCCCAGTTTCTGATCCGTCATAACTCTACCAATTATTATTGTCAAATTTGAGCAAAAGTCGTTTTCAAACATTGTTTAACTTGACTTTATAGTTACTTAAATAGTTTAAATTTTGTTAAAATTTAACCATCATTAACAAAATTTGACTATTAGGCTGAGTTGCACCACCTAACTTTGACCATAACTTTAACGTTAACCGGTGCTTTTTGTATGGAGTTTGAGAGATTTTTGACGTTTGTCAAAGTTAAAGTAAGATGGTGCAACCCAGCCTTAGACTAGCTAGAAATATGGCTTATGGCGTTAAACATCACTTTAATTAACTGTTGGCAAAACCCAGAAAACAACAAAGCATTCATTCCAAATTCAAACTGTCACATTCAACTTCAACATTTCCATTGAATTTTCCGAATTCAAATTTCGAACGTTCGAAGCGCCATGAAAGTTTAATGCCACAAGCGGTGGTTGGCGCGTTAAAAAATTCACTGGCTGGCTAGATTGTACAGACCACAACACTAAACATTTTTATTGCAAAATCGCCCTTATCACAACCACACAAGATGCCCCAGTATTTAGCTTGAGTACTGTGAACTGTACGAAAAGACAACGATAAAATATTTAAACGCCGAACGATAGTCGCGACGTTGTTTTGACGTTCATTATAGGTGCATTTACACCGTACGAGTGAATACATTACTGTCAGATATTTAGTCTTAGTTCCTTTGTTTACTTGGTGTTTCTTTTGCATTATAAAGGAAGTAAGTGCCAGTAAATTTTCTATGTAATTTGTTCAGAAGCGATTGCACTCTACTTATAACTCTACAATTAAATTATTGTATCTATTTTTTATTAATAAGTAACAAACTGATGTAGTAATAAAGAAAATAATTAGCACCTCGTCGACACAAAACGTTGTAACAGTAAAATCAAAGCAAATATTGGGCAATTCCTTACATAATCACGACCGGAAAGATTTTTTGCTTGACTAATTTTATGAAATGCTACAGCTCAGTTGCTAATCTAGCGTTCTAGTTAGTTTTTGTACGAATACACTGGCCAGCAGAAAATGAATTTACTTTCTTGCTTCAAGAAGTTTTTTGAGTGAACTGAATTTTAAGATGGCCGTACTTATTGCCTAAACGATAAGAAACACGGCATTTATCTCTGAATAAATATCTCATAAAAAGCAAACCTTCAAGTACATATTAAAAATTAATAAGCATTTTAACATATTTTCATACATTAAACACAAAATACGGCACGATGTAAACGCCAAAAAAGTCCCGCCAAACTACCACAGACTAAATTAAATATGAAAAAATAGCGTTCATTTTTATGGGGCAAAGAGTTTGTAACTAGTTTCACGCCTCGATAATGAGATAGTTCCATAATCCGTAATAACGTACGATCATAACACCTTCACCGTAATTTGGTGTTAGAAAAAAGAAAAAGAAAAGTTGTGTCATCGTAAGCAAATTGGACACAAATTATTACGTACGATTGGAATGGAATACGTTATTTTTCCGTTTTAAAAATGGAACGAGAACAGTAATTTTGGACAAAGGAGGTTCTGACATTACTTTATTTTATTTTTCGTGTGTTTTCTTAATAACTCTATCTAGCCAGTTATTTACATAACACGTAGGACCAGTTTCACAAGTTCCAGTTAAAATTCCTGACAAACTTATAATCATAGGTTGAGACCTGAAGAAATCTAAAAAGAACTGTCTATCTCAGTATAATTTTTTGGCAGTTAAAGCATTTAAAGGCAGTAATAACATTTTTTAGGTTGTTTTTAATAATGCCTACTTAAAACTATCTGAAATCATTTTAAGAGTTCCCAAACCTGTATAACTGACCCGTGAATATTGCCTGACTATAAACGTTGAAGATGTTCTCCATAGCTTTAAATCTTAATATTAGAGGACTTCTATCGATAGTTACTGAACTAATTCAAATTTTTCTTAAAAAGGTTCTTAAAAAACTGTGAAATAGTGAAAAAGAACTCACCATCTTTAGGCGGACTGGCACACTGCGGGGCGTAGGAACCTAAATGGTACCCGTAGGTATTCTGGTGCATGGGAGGGAAGGGGTACCCTAACGACCGCGGGCTTGGGAACCCCGACGCCTCGTGTGGGTTCTGCTGCCCCCCAGGACTGCCAAAATGGTGGGGATGCTGATACCCCCCCTTGAAAGGACCGTAACCGTGCTGCTGTAGTTCTATAAAGGCGGATTTGGATGACACGTTCGTTGGGGTGGAATTTGCCGAGTTGGATATATCGTGGGGGGTTTGCGAACCCCCTAAGTGGTGGTGCTGGTGGTCTATGTCCTGGGAGGTCATGGCGGGCTGAGGGGTCGATGGGCCCCCCCCGTCTGAGGACTGGGGAGGCCCGAAGGGATCTGTGAAACTCAGCGTGGAGGGTTTGGTACTGGGGGATTGAATACGGGTAATTTTGAGGGCTTGCGTCGACTCCGGGATCTCGCCGCTTGGTCAGCCTGCAACAAATAAATATTAAAGAGTTAATGCGTGGCTAGAATTGAAATTGTCAAAAAACACACGTTCGTTCGTTCGTTTCAGCCGAAAGACATCCACTGATGGACAAAGGCCTCCCCCAAGGTTTTCACAAAGCCCGCAGTCTAAAAACACACAACTGGTAAAAATCCTAAACAATCTACTGCGCGAATTTAGTCCCAAACTAAATAAAGCTTTTACTATGTTGCATACAATGTTAGTATAATAGTTGTGGGATGAACTGGTATAGATGGTATTTAAATTTGAATTGACATTATATTCAGCCTTTTTTGCTCATTACCAATTGGTAAGTGCAAATAAAACAAATACAAAAACAAAAGACAACGCACGCAGCGTGGATTAATGTCAATATTTTTACCAATCTTACGAGCGTACCATTGACATTTCAATTGCATTCGTCGATGCATTGTCACAAACACCATGCCCTGTTTCCGTTCCAATTTATAATACGCCATAAACATCATTTCTGATTGCAATTTATAAGCTTTATCTTTATTTATTACATCATTAGATCGCACACAATCATTGATCAACTATAATATTTATGGTCTTATATGATGCTATAATAATTCGAAACGTCAAATCAAGATAATTAAAAACTATACGAACGCATCAATAAATTGCCGTGTGGTTTTAAAAATCTATTTTAGAACGCTATTAGTATGCTTTTACCAAAGCAAACAATGCTTTTTAAGGGTTACTACTTACTGTCGATTCGCCACAAAGTCATTCGTCACACTTTACAAAACTTCGTATCTATAGGTACTTATTGAAAGTACTAAAAACGAATTTCCACCATGCATTTTTTCGTGACGTATCGATTCTATGGAAAATCGTCAATAACCCTCTTTTAAAAGTATTAGCAAATCTGTCGTGAGTAAGCTTCAATTTCAAAGTCTGTTTAATAAAAGAACAGTGGGAATGAGTAACAAGCAACGTCACAGCAATGTCAACTACCCTATATATCTCTACATCGGCTGACAGTCATTGGCTCAATTGACCATGTCGGCTAAATTGTTTTAAAGAAAACCCACACCGTTTGCCCTCATATGACCTCGTGAGTCCACAGAAATTTTTATTTTTTTTCGAAACGCACGGTTGGACAACGCGTCGATATGCCCAATAAAATTTACAGCTCTATTACGACTCTATTGCGTAATTAGAAAACTTACGTTGGTATTACCGAGCTTTTTAATTTTCGAATGGTGATTAAAATTTGAAAATTCAAAAGTGTTCGAATTGTGGTGTTTAAAATTTAAAAAACTGTTCGACGTTCAAACAATGCACCGTTCGAAAACTCACCTTGGGCCGATGCAAAATAATGTCTATATCTATAATCGTCACAAAAAAATCCTTCACAGAGTTCGGCTTCAGAAACTCGTATTGGAGTTAATAATATGCAAAATGCCTAATGTCATGAATATTATTATGCAAATACTCGTCTCGGGGCTTGTACCTGTCCGTAACATAGTTATGATGATTGGCCGATGTCGAGGAGTCGTGTTTTTCATCTGAATCTTAAGATGTGTCCGCCATCTTGGGAAAATGAGAAACTTGTGTCTACTGATACCTATCGACAAGATGAACGTTGTCGATTGCTAATCTCCGACATGGATCTTATAGAAAAATATGTGATAAGCTACTTGTATAGGTAGGAATTATTTATATCGTAAAAAGTGAAATGTCAAATTAACTAGAACCAGAATTCAGATGTACTATATTTAGGGCCTGTTAGACCACCTGCAGATTAAGCTGCTGATAAACTTATCTGATAGATAACTTTTGGCTTTGCAGGTTTTATTCAGATCTGACAGCAATCAGTAAGCCTCTTATTAGATAGCTTTACATGTCAGATAACTGGGTATCTGAGACTTTGTCAGGGACTGAACTGAATTCTGAATGAAGGTCCAATTGAGTCCTATGAAGTCCTACCTATTTGCCATAACCTTTGGGATATCAGGACACCCCAAAGTTCAAAATGACGTAAAAATGTAGAGCTATCTAAATAAGACTAAAACCTATGCAACTAAAAGAAAATACAGCATACTTACTTGCATATTTAGAGGACAAAAGAATACGACATGTACCATGCATTAAGAAAGCTTAAAGACGGTTGCTTGACCTGACATTTGAAACTAGTTCATTTTTGTTGTGTTGTTTTAAATTTCAAAATATGTACTACTATGTTTCAACTTGTAGCACATCAAGCTTAACACAGTGGCGTCTTATCTCGATGCAATAAAGGCTATTTTGCAATAAAAATTTAAGTATAATGTGCTGTCAACAGTACAAATCTCTACATGCTTCCAAAGAATCAATAAAATCTCACATCCACCAACAAACTGGTCTTAACCCATTTGCATCAAGTTATCAAAGCATGGCACGTATACCCACTGATCTGCGACGCTGGGAACCATAGGGGTCCCATAAATATTGGTACCCCATAAAATACTAATAAGTATTCATTAGAAGGGTACCATGCTTCGGTGGGCACGGTTAGTCGAGAAGTACTACGATGTAGATTTCTTTATTGGAAAGAAGCAGTTTGAAGTAGTAACTATAGTCACAAAATATTGATACAATTTTAATTTTGTAATAATGTCACAAAAACTATGCAACATTATTACTATGGGACATTTTGTCTTTACTTTCTTTTTATCGATATCCATTGCGTACCAAGTACCAACACTACTTTTTCAAGAGATGTTCTAAGTTTAAATTTTGAATTTGGTTTAGGAACACAACTCAAAACGTTATTTTGTTTCCTTTTTTTTTCTATGTGGATAGGCCACATAGAAAAAAAAAAGGAAACAACCTTTCTACAATATAACTTTCTAAATTCAGAAATTGGTTTATTAACTTCTTTGGTTTGAATTGATTTAGCTACTGATTTCTTTTATCTTTTAAGTAAATCTTGAACCATTGAGGGAGGCCTATGTTCAGCAGTATACATCCTATGGCTGAGATGATGATGATGATGAAATCTTGAACAGGGTTTCTTACGGTCATAAAATTAAGTAGGTATTGGTAATGCGTTGCTAAGTTGAAATTTAAGAATTCAGGTCATACTTTATCACTGAAGTTAAATACTTAAAATTTCAATTTAACCATGCATATCGCAATCAGATAAGATTTTCATGCAAAAACCGCGCCAAATTCCGAAATTTTCACTCAGTCCGCGTAGTAAATCACAGAATACATGTTTCTTCATATTTAATATTCACATATGCATAGCTATTTAACATGCTAAGTAGGTATGTTCGTATTCGATATCAGTTACACACACTTGAAGAAATCATCTTTTGAATATGTAAAAATATACTTGTTTGTACTTTTTTCGATTCTTAATTTTAATTTTATTGATATTCAATTCATTTAATATATTTTTTCAACAGAAAACATAGGTGCGTACAAGTATTATAATGGTATAATGGAGTCGTCAACATAAACTACATATCACATTAACAGATAATAATTTTCAATAAAAATTTACACCAATTAGTTCGTTCTAAACATTATTATTACGAGCGGAGTAATCAACAAAGAAACAAATAAATAAAAGACGATACAAAACGTTTTGACCCGACCTCGGCGCCTGCGCAGCGAGAGCGAGACGGGGAATCCAATCAATAGGAGCGAGCAGGACAAAAACGCTGTAGTAATTAACACAAAGGAACTTGCCGAAAAGGAGTATTTTTTATTTCCAATTCTTCGGATCATTTGTTTTAATGCCCAAACATTTTGGTCTGTGAGAAATGGGACCGTAAATGATCTAAATCTGTGGTCCCAATTAGTTTTTTTGAGCTTTCGATTTTTTAACGGGGCGTTAGACGCGAGATAGACCACCGAGATTTAACGGCTGATTAAATTAGTCACAGGTTAACTTTGAGTTTGGCACGAGCCGTTTCGCCAGGTTCGGTGATCCGTCAATTTAATTAGGCTGACTTGAAGTTATAATTACAGTAATCAAGATGGCGGTATGAATTCTCGAAGTGTCGTTCCATGACCTCATGTTGCGTATGGATAAAAAATTTCCTTCGATCAACTAAGATTTGTGAAATAAGATTGACATGAGCTGAAAATTATTTAAAACAATTTGAACTTTCCCTTATCTCTATGAGTCAAAATAATTTCATGTAATTTAACAGAAAATTGTGCCCTGAGTTTCCAGTAACAAATTATTTCAAATTCGAAACCTACTTACTCGTAGATGTAAAATAACTTTTGCTCGACACTGGCAAAAAGCCTTTAAATTTTAATAAAAAAAACTGATTCTGCATTTGAATTTAGATTTCGAACTTCACTTTGAATTTAAGTTTCGAACAACATTTAGATTAAAATTCAAGATTTTAAATTTTATTCCTATTTTAAAATGTTGAATGCTCATGCAATTAGCTAGTTACTGGTAGCCCAACGATTTTTTCCGAAGAAAAAACCGTGTATTCTTCATCGGAAATTCAAAAAGAATGGTCTTACACTATAATTTCGTTTGCGACTAGAATACAAACTAGTGTAGAATAGTAGGTGCTTATTAAATGTAGTTCATCGGAGGGCAGTCTTGTAATTGTATTCTTTGTTCGAATGAAATGGCATTTCGCATTCGTAGTACAAAGGTCTTATTTATTAATGACTAGCTATTAAAAGTGGCTTCGTTTGTTTTGTATCTGTAGATAAGGGCTCATTCGTACAGCAATCCAGTTTTACAGGATCCAGTAATGCAGGGTCCCGCAGCCACATACTGTGTTTAAAATTTGAATTACAAATAACGGATCAGTTTTTGCGAGACGTTCGTGTGAACGTACGAACGAACATTAAAACTAAACTAGATCCAGAAAGAAACAGGATGTCCCTGTGGGAACAAGCTCTAAAAGATTACAAGAGAAACTAGATTATTCAAACATTGTTATTCTAATGCTTTTAGGAGTTGATAGAGTCATATTTCTCCACGTCTTATCCAAATAAC